GAGCGCAATTATACAAACTACAACTATAACATACAAATATGATTTTTATGTTTGCTGCTAAACCTAAAATTTACTCAAAAAAATATTACTCCTAATATGGATATTGTGGTAAATATTCATATTGTTAATCATTAATTTAAAAGACATACAAAATTTAGAACAAACAAATAAAAATAAATAAAAGTGAGTACAAAATATAAGCGGAGCTTGAAAAATATATTTAGAGCCCTACCTTGTAATTAGTGGTGGCAAATGGGTGGGTTGAAAATGGGTCAACATAAAATGGATAATAATTCAACCCGTCCATATTTGATATGGGTAAAAATGGATTGGGTGACAAATGAGTTGGGTAAAATACTAGCTTACCCATATTTACCCATATTTTCACGAGTAAAGAGTACTCTACTTAAGAATTCAACATGGAGAAAATATTTTAGTCTTTTTTTAGATGAAAAATATTGAAAATGCTTCATTGAGTTTTATTGTATCATAAAAGTTTTTTAAAAAATCATGACTTTTCAATATAAAATAATTTTATGTAATAATAAGGGGAAAATATTTTTAATTTCAAATTAAATGAATAGTTGCATTTAGGACTAAAACATGCTTAATGCACTTTTAGCAATGTCAATACTAATACATGATTTGCTTATTTTACACTATTATATATTATCAAGTATAAAATTAAACAAATAAAAAAATATAATTATAATTAACAAAAGAAATATACATTTAAAATATATATTTTTGGAGGGCCAAAGACTTTACTTTTTCTATTATGGAGAAAAATAATTAATTCTATAGAAGAACATAAAAAGGAAGAGAAGTTACAATCTTTTTTAGTGATATCATAAATTTTGAGTGAATAAAAGTTAGAAGCTTAACCCATTTGGCAAATCCATATTTTACCGATAATTTACTCATATTTTTATGGGTTGAATATGGATATCAACCCATATTTTACCCATGTAAAAAATCATTCTCCCAACCCATTAAAATATGAACGGGTTGAATGGGTGACAACAATTTGGGCTCATTTTACCGGCACTACTTGTAAATGATCTTAAGCAGGTATGTTAACGATCTCCTAATATGCTATCACACATTTTATTTATTTACTATAGTATAACGCTTTACTTTTTATTGGACTGTCGTGTAGTGTAAAAACTCGTAAAAGCACGTGAAATATTAGAACAGTTGATATTTTTGTCCAAATAAAAGGAATTATTTGTGAACATGATTTTTGAAGACTAGGCCCAAGTGCGGGGCAGGCCCAGTTTGGTTAGTATGTCTTTATTCCATTAAAGATTCTCAAGTTCAAAAAGGTCCAACTTAGCTAACTTAACGGTCAAAACTTACGTAAATTTCACTAGTTTATAAGTTAATTTATTTAGATACGCTTTAGTTAAATATTACATATTTTACCAAATTTTTGTACGTTTAGATATGTGAAACATGTTCCATATGGTCAAAATTATGTGTAATTTGTTCTACATACATTGTATCCAAGTGGATTCACAGATATTTGGGATACATAACAAATCTCGCTTATCAGTCTCCTATATATCTGGTATCTCAAATACGTACAAATACATGTATCTAGTGAGTATCTATTATGATTCACATGTAATTGGTATTACATAAAAAATATCACTCGCCTCCCTCCCTATTTTAGTGTATCTGAGAGCAAAGATACATGTATCTTCCACAATATATGGTAGAAAACTCTTAATTAGTGATAAGATACTTAATATTTTGAAAATATAAATAATAATAATAATCATAATAATAATAGTAATGATAATAATATATATGGTAGTGGATTATGTCTAATTATATAGTTTCTCCTTATTTTAGTAGTTGTATTTCTATACAAATCAATAGAAATATATTACAGTATATTAAAGAAGAAAGAACATATACATGACTTAAATGAAGGCTATAGAAAAATCATATACATGACTTAAATGATAGTTACGAACCTTATAATTATATTGCTCTTTTTTTCGATTTAAAATTTTACAGTTTAATGAAAGAAATCGGGTAAGGGAGAAGGGAGGATAATAGATAATGAGGGTGATGAACGTGGGATGAGAGGTTGATAAGAGAGAGTGAGTTGATTAGGATGAAGATGTTAATTGAGGGATACATAACGTGTTTAGATATTCAGTTGCCCTAATCTAGGCTAGTTTTTAATGTATCTCAAAATATCTAACTTAAACACATGCTACAAAATTCTTAATTAATAAAAATATACTATATGTAATTATTGAAAGTATAAGTAAGATTAATATATGGTATAAATGTATATCTAATGAAGTAATTTTTTTCAATTTATTTGATGGGCTTCTTAATTAAACAAACCCTCGATATAACATATTTCACCATAGTCTAAAAAAATAACCATTGTTATAAGTTATAACCCAAATATTAATCAGGTTGCTAAAAATAATTAGTAAGTAATACTCTTTCACTTTTGGATTGTTTGGCCAAACCTTTTAAATTAACTTATTTTGGTTTTTTTTTTTATAAAAAAAGTGCTTTCTAACAATAAATACTCACGGAGAGAAACTCTTGGTGCTTTTGATTAATTAATTTGAAAATTATATTTGAGCAATAATTAATTTTGGCTAAATTTTCAAAGAAGTATTTTTAAATATTGCCTCATAGATGCTTTAAAAAAAGCGTTTTTTCCACCTTTTAAAATTTTTTTTTTTTCTTCTAAAAACTTTGCCAAATACGTCTACTTTGAAAAAAAAGAAAAAAAGAAGAAGAAAGATATATTTTTTTTGGGAAATATGCCTTATAAAACATACTAGAGACAAGACAAGTGTATGTGCTAGTATGGGCTCAATATCTGTTTTTTTTTTGGAAAAATTAACTAAATACACATTACATCTTATTTTACCAGAATCTCTAAAATTTTCTCCTATTTAAAAGAATTTCAAAAATCCCCTCTTGGATACATCACTTTTTCCTCGTTGATACATCATTATTCCCTCCCGAATGCATCCCTCCCCTTTCTGATACATCCCTCCCCTTTCTGATACATCCCTCCCCTCTCAGATACATCCCTCATCAATGTATCAGGAGGTCCAGTGATGTATCCGGATGTCCTATTCCCTCTCAGATATATCCCTCACCTATGTATCTGGAAGTCCAGTAATGTATCCGAAATTCACAAATTTTAAAGGATTTTTATAATTTAGAAAAGAGAAGGAAAATAATGTAATTAGCTCTTAACACTAGGGGTGTGCATCAGTCGCTTTGGTTCGGTTTAACCAATAAAAGAAATACTTCTAAAACAAATATATGGCTTCTATAATAAATTTGACCTGACAACGCAATAATGTAAATTTACAAATGCTCATAAAATAGAAACAATAATAACAAACATGAAAAGAACTATACAAGTGTAACACAAAGAGAAATAAGAGGAATATGGTTCTTACTTTAGATTTTGACGTTTTGTATTATATGAAGTTGTGAACTCAAAGTCACTATGAAGTGTGAATTGAAGGTTAAAGGACAAAAACATAACTAGTAAGGTATTGAGATTAATATATAATATTTATGTACAAGTAAAAGTAGTAAACTACTAATCTTAATGGGTTATCGATTTACCCGATAACCCAATATTAAAAATCAATACCGAACCGGTAACCCAATAATTTTTTTTTATACAATCATTAAAAAGCCGTTAACCCAATAACAACAAACTAATAACATAGTATAAATTCTCCCTCTTTTTGAATAAAAAGTAAAGAAAACAAATTCTCCCTCTATAGTCTATACTTGTTTGGAACTGCTTTCATTTTGTTATTTTTTTATGTTTATAACTTATAAAAATAAAATACGATTAATATATTTCAAGTACATTATAATATCCTAATTTATATAATGTAAATATTCTATCAATATGTTGTATATATTTTTTATACAGTTTTAATATACCAAATATATGAATTATGTATAAATTCACATCCTAAACAAAATAATAATACATGTTAATTAAAGAAGTGGAATATATTTAATAATATATAACGCTATATACAATTCAATTTGTAATATTAATAAAATATTGCATTTGGATTTCAAATGAAAACAGAAAAAAAATAGTTGTTCGTATATTAAAAAAAAGTTAGGAAAATAGCATAGTTGGATAACAGTTTCAATGAAAATAATTAAAAATAAATCAATAAGGGTAAATGTGTAATTTACTATTTTAATACACGTATAACTAATACATACATAACTTATTCCACCTTCTACCCTGCATAACTTATACATAGATTCCCTCATAAGTTATGTTGGTATTAATTATGTAGGACTACAAAAAACACAACCAAACATCGTATAAATTTAATACATGAATAATTTTTATATAATATTTAGAATTCTACCAACCAAACATGGTATAAGTTATGTTGACTTTTCCACCTAATACAAAGTTTCTACCAAACATGGTAAAAATAATGCAACTTTTTATACATGGATAAAATGCAACTTATACAGTAACCAAACGGCCCATAAGTATATATCAGATAAATAAAAAAACTATATCATATGCATAAAAACAATTCAAATACACAGAATAAACCAATCAAATACACAGAAATCCACATTCTGAAAGAAGAAGTAAAAAGTTTTTGATGCTCAATTTTTTTTTCTTTTTCTAGATGTTATATAACATAAATTCCAAAATTGCTATATGCATGATTTCTGCATTACTTATTTATATACATTTAATTATATTTATTTAGTTAACATGTATATAAATGTGTTAGATAGATATATCCAAAATGTGAATTATGATATAATAAATAGTATTGCATAATTACTAGTAAGGTTTGTGTTATTTATATGAAACAAAATTATATCAACAAATAAAAACACTTTATTTAGAAGTAGATAGTGTTTACAGTTGGGTTGTACATTAGTTAATGTAAGAAGCCCAGAAAGTTAGCAAGTACAGTAAATCTACTCAGTTTAGGTTTCAGGTTTTCCTGTACAAAAGAGGCAAAGACTAAGATTTATTTTCCCATAATTCACAGATTCTTTAATTGTTTTTCTAATTGATCGGAGAAATTAAAATTAGGTTAATTGATGGCCGGAGATTATAGCCGATGGTCGCCGGAGCCGCGGGATTTCAAAGCTATGTTGAAGAAATTATCACATGAACAAATTCTTCAAGTTTTGTCTGAAGGGCTATGTTCTTACTGTGAAGAAGTTATAGAGTCTCGTGTAAACAATCTCAACCTTATTCAAAGTAAGCCAATTTCAATTATTCTGTTTTTTCCGATTGATTATCAATGTTTGCATATTTAATTTCACGGGAATTTAAAATCAAAAGAAGTAAACATACGAAGAAGCAGCTAAAGGGGATCGAATTCACTCTGGGTGTGTTAAATAGAAATTGAATTTGTGAATAATTTGAGTTGAAATTAGTATATATAAGGATTTTTTTAGATAGAGAAATTCGAGAAAGATACCGTAAGTAAACTCACTCTTGAGAGTTCCTGAATAGGGATTGAATTTATGAATTTTAAAATGTAGATACAGATTTTTCAGATAGAGATATTGGAGAAAGATACCCACTTTTGAGTTCCTAGGGATTGAATTTCTGAATATTTCGATTTTAAAGTATAGATACGGACTTTTTGAGAAAGAGAGATTCGAGAAAGATACAGTAAATATATATATATATATATATATACCAACTTTCGAGTTCTTGAATAGGGATTGAATTTCTCTATTTAAAAGTATAGAGAAAGATTTTTCAGATAGAGAAATCCAAGAAATAAGCTCTCTCTAGTTCCCGAATAGAAATTAAATTTCTGAAAAATTCATTTTTTTATTACATCGAGCTAGAGCTAGGACAAGGTAAAACGCTGGAGGGAATTACAAGAAGGGTAATCAAACTCTTGCCAACCAACTGAACCACTAAGATATCGTTTGAATAATTTGATTTAAACCATAGATTATGATTTTAAAGATAGAGAATCTATGGATGGCTACTATTCTTCAGTTATTTTTGTTGGTAAAATAGGACTGTCATTGTGATTTATCTTTTGGTACTTAGGAGTACTATAATTCAAATAGCTCATAATATTATTTTTAACTTTGTAGGAAGGGTAGATGAAATGGCATTATCAAATGTTAATGTTGCAGATAGTTCTGCGGAATTCTTGCGGGGGAATTCATCTGATGATGTAATTTCACCAAAGAGAAAGCTGAATGCTGATGCTGATGCTTATACACCCTCTCCACGAGTTGGCGACTCAACTAACTCAGGAAGGTCGAAACGATTTGTTAGTGCCCCGTCTACACCAGCGATCAACAAACAACCAGTGTCTGACCTTTCAAATTTTGAGATTAAACTAAATGATGGACCTAGTAGATCAGTCGTAGGCGATGATTTAGTGGAGGATCAGAAAGAGTTTATTAGGTATAGCCAAGTTGGCAGGCGAAAGGATTTTGTTCATTATGAGAACGTTAATGAAAAGCAAATAAATGTGCTTAAAGGGCTTGAGCTTCACACTAACGTTTTCAATCCCGATGAGCAAAAGGAGGTAGTCGAACTTGTTTACTCTCTTCAGAGAATGGGACAAAAGCGACAACTTAGAGGTAATTTTCATTCAGTTCTGAAATCTGTTAATCAGTATGGCTATTTATTTCTGTCTCCAGCTAGAGTAATAGCTATGAAACACAAAGAATGTTTGGAGAGCTACTGCATTATTGCTTTCAGTGTTTTAATTTCTGGTTGACATTTTGCAGCGCGAACATATTCTGAACCAAGAAAGTGGATGCGAGGAAAGGGCCGTGTCACCATACAATTTGGTTGTTGTTATAATTATGCTGTGGTAAGAGTTCTCTAATTGATGGCTAATCCTTTTCAGTTTTATCTTGACATTTTATCCACTGACCCTTCTTAACAGGACAAAAATGGTAATCCGCCAGGCATTGTTAGAGATGAAGAAGTGGATCCACTGCCTCCTTTATTCAAGAAAATGATTAAGAGAATGGTTAGATGGCATGTTTTGCCAACGTCGTGTGTGCCTGATAGTTGCATCGTAAATATTTATGACGAGGGTGATTGCATTCCTCCTCATATTGACCATCACGACTTTGTTCGACCTTTCTGCACAGTATCTTTGTTGGCAGAATGTAAGATACTCTTTGGCACAACCTTAAAGATTATTAATCCTGGAGAGTTCTCTGGTCCTTTCTCCTTACCTCTTCCTCTCGGGTACGCACGCCACCAACACATTCTTTTTCCTTTCTTAAATTTTACTAATACTGTATACAATTCGATCTCTAACATACGAAATACATATATATTTTCCCCTTTTTATCTTATGCAGGTCAGTGCTCATTTTCAATGGTAATGGAGCTGATGTTGCTAAACATTGTGTGCCTAGTGTTCCAGCTAAAAGGTTGTTTTCCTATTTTCTTTCTGACAAAAATATTCATTCATATATAGTAGTTCTAAACATATATTCAGCCACTTCTCAAACATGTTTTCTGATAACATTTATACAATAATCTCACTGATATCACCTTGCAGAATTTCCATTACTTTCCGTAAGATGGATGTCAGCAAATTACCATATCGGTATACTCCTGATCCAGAGCTTGTAGGAATCGAGCGTCTTGTTCCTCCTCCATCATCAGACAGCTCAAGAAATCGTCACCATGGTAATAATGACAAGCTTCCGAAAAGTGAAAATAAGGTGTTTTCCAATGAAGATGAGTTCCCTCCTCTGGGAAAGTCGATTTCTTCTAGCCGTAGAACTCGCAGATAATTTGTGTAACTTATGGTTAAATTATGTTGTGCGATTGATTTTGGGTATTTTGACCAAGATCAATCGAGACAAATAGATACAATAATTTTCAAATGGTGTAATACATAAATATGCCTTTTAACTTGACTTCGTTTCACATTTATGTTCTTCAACTTTGGTTGTGCACAAATAGACACTTAAACTTGTGCACATTTAAAGTTGGAGGGCATAAATGTGAGCTGAGGCCAAGTTTAAGGCCATATCTATGTATCGTGCCTTTTCGAAATCAACATAAAAGCTTAGGCTGAAATTGTAATTTAAGCATATGTATTTTTTTTATCAGTAATACATAGTATTTGTTTTAAAAGCTCCTCAATCAACGGATGCTTTAAAGATATTTACAGACCTATGCATCATTGATTGGCTTACTAGTTTTAAAGATATTTCTAGCATGTTTGATCAAGTTTTTAGAAGTTTATTTTTTTTAAAAATAATAATTAGGGAAGTGCTTATTTTATAAATGTGAAGTGTTTGGCCAAATTTATTAAAGAAAATAAGTGTTTCAGCTTTTGGGTAGCAAGAGAAACTATTTTTCAAAGGTAGCACTAGTTTTTCTTCAAAAACAAAAAATACTTTTGAGACAATATATTGAGGGAGTACTTTTTAAAAATTAGGTTATATATTAATTGCTCTTCAAAAGTACTTTTTAATTTGATTAGTCAAATATGGAGTAATTTGTTTTTCATCAAAAAATTTTTATTTAAAAAAAACACTTTTCAAAATAAGTTAATTTTAGAGGCTTAAACTTAATAGTGGCTTGCATACTGTATGAGGTTTTTCCTTTTCTTTTTTCTACTTAATTTATTAATTGTTCAATATTCCTTGAATAAGTTTCAGACTGTTTATAATCGAAAGGTGACTTTATGCCTATAGTGAATAATTGACAATTATTCACATCAATTATGTCGGCATGCTCTTGGATCTTCTGAGGGGCGAAAACAGAAAATACTTTTAAATTTTCTTATGTTTTGTTATTTAGAATTTTTGAAAAATATCTTCTTCAGATTTTTTAAAAATGAGAAAAACAATTATCTAGTGGCAATAAAGAAAACGAGTTTCAGAAATGAATTTCACATTGATTGTGTTTCCCTCACCCTTTAACGCACCTCATCAACCTTGACCCGTATCCTCACCTCCCCACACGCATAGCTACATTCACCTCTCATAAATCATAATATTTATTTAGATTATACATAAATCAAACATTTTAAGATAGAATTTTTTGGTTTTAGATTATTGAACCCAAGAAATTAATTATTTCGTCTCATGATTCAAAAATCGCTTATGATAGTACATTTAATTAATTATTGGGGGAACATGTTAATCACCTCATGATTAACCGATTGAATTTGCAAAAAGAATCTCATAATGTCTTTTTTCTTTTTTGTGCCAAATGGAATAAATTGTCAACTAAACAGATGGTAAAAGACAAGAGTTTACACTATGCATGATAATTGTCTCATCATCTTTCCTGCTTTACCATTTAGAATCTAATTCCAAAGGTTGATTGTTATTAATACCATGTAGTATGTAATTGTCAATATGGGAATCACAATTCACAAAAAGTCAATAAAAAATGCGTGTAGTTGATTGATATATACTCCACTACTATTAGAGATAAGATAAGATCACTTTTTAATCAGAGATCTTGACAGAATAAAAAAAATATTTTTATAGTACGTGCATGTATATGTATAATGTGAATACATATTACTCGATCAACAAATGTTGAATACTGATTGAGAATCCCAAAATTTTCTAACTAGGCCCCCTCCCCAACCAATTACTACCAAAAGGAACAAAAAAAGCACAGTACTTTTTTCCGTTTCCATTTCATATATATATTTGAAGAGTACGTACTTGATAATTATTGGAATTAGTTAGTTAACTGATGAGGTATTAGCTAGTAGTGTTAGTTAGATGATAAAATTCTGTTAGGATGATTTGTAACTAACAAAATGATGAGCTGGATATAATTGTATAGGAACTCTAGTATAAATACTAAACTTGTATTGATTCACAATTTTTACACTGAATGAAACAATTTGATTTCCTTTCTTCTCTCTGAGTTACTTGAAAGATTTCCGCCATTGATGTGGCTCAGATTACAAAATTAACAATAATCTCGAGTTAGAGAACCTTATGAGATTGCTCATCTCATGCATGCATTGTCCCCAAAAACATTTACGTCAATCATTTTCATCTTAATTAAATTAAACACATCGAATCAGGATAAGATACTCCTTACATGACTTTAGTAAATCCATTTTTGTTTGAGCTAACTTTAAATCATGTAGTAATTAAGTTAGGATCAATGTTCATTTAGCATGGTATTAATGGTTTTAGACCAATAACTTTTAGATATCTTAGATCTATTTACGAACGGAAATAAATTACACAACCTAAATATTTGTTGAAAGAGAGGCACCTAACAAACTTATACACTTCCATAACCAAAATTAAAAGAGGGAAGAATGATAAACTAACCTTTTTAACGTGTAAAAGATTTGTCACTATGTATGTATATCTCGGTTGATATTGACACACTTGACACTTCCAATAACCCAAAAAGAGAAATAAGGCCAAATAAATTAATGAAAGAGCACCTCATGATCATATTAATTAGAATTCCACTTGTTTTATCATGGGAAAGTTGTATATAATAGCAAACTATTAATTCAAATTAAATGGTATAACCATAGTTTGATTTAATTGTACCCCATAACAAACTGTTGCTATTTCGCCTCTCTCCTGGTGAATCTCGCTGGGCAGTCTCCCTCTCCTCTCTCGCTTTTATACAACTACAAATGTATAAAATGCGTTTGTGTTTGTATAAAGCGAGGGAAAATTGTATATATACATATATTTTCGTTCCCCTCTCTCCCCTCTTCCAGATCTCACTCGTCACTCTCCCAGATCTCACTCGCCTCTCTCACTTTATAGTTTATACAAACACAAATGTATACATTGCGTTTGTGTTTGTATAAAGCGAGAGAAAATTGTATATACAAATACAAATGCATATATTTTCGTCCTATACCTTATGATTATACAAATAAGATCTTCCCTTGCCCAGTTTTCTATTGTCTTTCTCTCTTTCTCGCTTTATACAAACACAGATTATACAATTGATCTTTTGTATATGTATATCGAAACAAATTATACAATTGTTTTTTTTTTTTTGTATATGTATAGCGAAATATACATATTTATATTTGCTATGGAGTGTAATTATGCAAACTATAGCTATAGCATACAAACATGATTTTTATGTTTGCTATATGTGAAAGTTGCTCTTTTATTATTTGCTTGGACTCATCCAGTGGCAGGGGTGCGGGGTGGTGGCATCGCATGGGGGGTAATAACCGACTAACACACACGTGTGAAGATGAAGGATGTTGGAGGCAGAGAAAATCCGATTTAGACATTTTCAAAAAAGGTCATTTTCTTTTAATTTCACTAAAAAGGTCATTTTCCTCATATTAAAGACATTTTTTTAAAAATAAAACAATCAAAATATGAAAAAAAAAATTAAGAAATATTTTCCTCGGAACACACATATTCATAAAATTAATTATGCAACCAAGGAATAGAAAGATTAAAAAGAAAAGAAAAGAAGCACCATAATACGAATTTCAAAGAAGCTATATTCCAATATCTTTTTAGTGAAGTGAAAGATAATATTCGGTACAATGAATTATTTTACTATATATGTTATCATAGTTTGTGCATCAATAAATTAAATCCCTTTTCCTCCTCCGTCCAAAAAGAAAGAAAGAGTAGATTGGGAGTTCAAGGATATCAATAGATCTAAATTTTTAATGTAAATTTAAGCATCAAATTCTTAATATTTATTGTACAATTTAATGCATGAAAAATCGACCATGTCTCCGAGGGACAGTTGAACTAGCGACTCATGAATGCTGCCGGGTTGGACGAGCCAATAACTCGAAGGCGTTCGGCCTGTTTTTTAGCAAGAATCACAGCCTTTTTCTTTGAACCCACCCAATCAAAATCCTCCTTTTCTCAAAGGAGAATCGAAAAAATAATATTTTCATACAATATCTTAATTGAATTATATGTAATGATCAATAAATTAAGTAGAATTCTATATCTACACATACCAAAAACATAGAAAAATCCGAGCTACTATATATTACAGTATTTTAGAGTATAAAATACATATAAATAATATAAAATATAAGAAAAAAGGTTCATTCAACACTTAAAATAACACTAGTAACATTTTGACAAAAAAAAAAGAGTTCGAAAAAGAATGGTGTTATTAAATTAAAATTCGTGTGAACCTCAACATAGAGCAACCAGAGATTCCATAATACTAACTTCCAAGTCATGTGAGCTGTTCGTTCAAAAAGAAACAGGGATCATATTATATCCCCGTTAAATAATTATAACGAAAATAATAACATATCCAATGAAATCCAACAAATGAAATCAAAGGAAGATAGAGTATACATAGACCTTACTCTTTCCTCGTAGAGCTAACTAGATAGACTATTTTTGGTATGAAAAGAAAAACGACAGTGAAGGAATTATAACAACTAATATTTAAACAATAACAACAACAAAATAGTTAAATAATCAAAACTCAATAAACAACAAATCGATGATGAGGATAGAAATCAGAACAAGCTAATTAAGACAACTACAAGAATAAGACCAATACTTCACCACCAAGCCTATATGACTATATCCATTGAAAAACAAGACAACACTCTACTACATACTAAGCTTCTATCTTAATAAGCGATCTCCACACCCTTCTATATAAGTTTATATCGTCGTAAGATAAAACTATACCATGTCATGTCTAATGACCTCTCCTCGTTAAATAATTAAGTAAAAATCATAAATTTAGGTATTTGATACTTAGCTTTACGTGGCAAGCAGTTTAACGATGGCCTACAAAATCGCCCAATTCACACATAAGTCAGTATGTATAAATACCTTTCCATCAGGTCAGAGTCCGTCAA